ACGATGTACGATTGTTTAAAAGAAATTGCGAAAAATTATTTGAAAGCACGTGTGAGAAGGAGTGATTTAACGAGCAGCTACTTATTAGAAGAAATAATTGATAATTCTAGTATCGTTTCATAGAATTTTCTATAGGGTGTTAAGTCAAAACGATGAAAAGCATTTGAGAGCCAGGTGGCCTCTTTTTCTTTTCCAATCGAATAAATCATTCCAGAGGTAAAGAGCAAGCGTGCACAATCGGTTCCAATAGTTCAAGCTTCTACGATACTATAATCCTATCAAATTTCGATTCCCGTTATAATCGCTTCGACGGAAGAAATTGAAATTCAATAACATTGCTCCGGATGCACAAGTAAAAAAAAGTGTCCTGTAATTTCATTCAAGCGACATACTTCAGACGTATGAATAGACATCTTTTTATTCACTCATGCAATTCAATATATATCTCATATAGAGAGTGTCTATTGAAATATTTCAATTATTAATCATAAGACGTGAACTACTATTCGAAACTATTTTCAAAAATCAAATTAGAAGAATGTATTCAATTAATTATAGTGACGAAAAAATTACTCATCAAATCAAAATTTCATGGAATTAATCACTGAGACTGCTAAATGCTTAAGGGTCAAATTTTCTCAACAAAATCAAAGTTGGTCATAGGTATTTCAATTTTTGTGAAATTTAGTATAAATGTAGTGTTTTATGGCAAGATTTTAAAAAAATTTTCAAAATTATCAATTTTACCGAGCATCAATCATAAAAGAAAAATTTTTTTTTGAAAAACAAATAGCTTTTATCCATTTTGTTACATTTTGTTTATATTTTGCGTAATAATAATTCATTTTCTAACAATTTAAAGTGCAATATTAAAAAAATATATAAAATTTACCTGGAAAAAAAATTTAAAAAAAGTTCATGTATTGCACGATCTTATTTTACTTCTGTTTAGTTAATTCTTCCTATTATTTTGATTATTATTAACCCTTTAACGCCCAAATGTACAAAATTTTGGCATGAAGTTTGAGGACTTATTTCGGTACTTATAAAAATCCATAGAAAAATTCATCAATCATCATTTCTTATGTTTTCATATGCGCTCTATCGAATGGCGTTATAAAAAAATCAAAAATTTATAATTAAAAAAGTTATTAATGTTTTTTATAAAAAAAAGTCCGATTTTTTTTCAATTTTTGTTTAATTTTCAATTTTTTCTACTACGAAACAGCAGAGAAAAATAATTTTAAATGTTACAAATAACGTGACATAAATATATATGCTACAAGATAGGACTATAGAAAAAATTAAAAATTAAAATGGCGGCTCAAAAATGGAGTCTGAAGTTCAAATTTTTTTTTGCAAAATTTACACGAATGAACGAAATTGTTAAAAGTGTTTAGATTAGCTTGAAACTTGTTACTCGGGGGTATTAAGGGGCGCTGATCACGAATCTGATGTCACTTTTTAAAAATTCAAAATGGCGGATCCAATATGGCGGACAATTTTTTTAAAAACTCATTAGATTCGCTTGAAACTTGTTACTCAGGGGTTTTTGGGGTCGCTAATTATAAATCTAAAATTCAATTTTCAAATTTCAAAATGGCGGATCCAATATGGCGGACAAATTTTCAAAAACATATTAGATTCTTCTTCTTCTTGTTCTTTGAATGGCCTCTTGCGTATAACACAGATAGCCAGTACTAGTAAACATATTAGATTCGTTTGAAACTTGTTACTCGGGGGGTTTTTAGATTAGGGTCGCTGATCACGAATCTGAAGTCCAATTTTCAAAATTTATAATGACGGATCCAATATGGCATATAATTTTTCTAAAACATTTTATTTTTTTTTGTATTTTTGTATTTTTTTCATTTATATTTAAATTTAAAGCTCGAAAATCTAAATTTAAATGCTTTGTTTTAATCATTTGTTATTTTTGTTAATAAAACTCTGTTTGCAGAAAAAGGAGTTGCATATTTTACAAAATAAATGTGTTCTGGATTCATAAATTTCTGAAGAGCAATATTTTCTGTTGTTAAATTCGAACACATTTATTTTGTAAAATGTGCAATGTCTATTTTTGCAAAGAGCGTTTTGCAGACATTTATACCAAGTTTCACAAAAATTGTAAGACCCATGACTAACTTTGATTGTTTTGAGAAAATTTGACCCTTGACCCGCAGAGTTCAACATCCATTTAACTATTAAATTTAAAGCAGTCAGTCAAAACTAACAACAAAATTTAAATTACAAAGAAGTTTTATAAATGAGAAATTCATGAGATTGAATCGTGAATCAAAAATGAAACATATGGTAAATATTATCGGATTCGATAACTTGTTGGGATTAAATGCAAATGTACAATTGGAGAAATATAGATATATATATAGTTGAAATTATTGGTCTCGTTGATTCGCGAGACATTTGACAGGTTGTTAGTTCCTCTCTAAATCAATGCATGGTGACCATCGGAATGGACCGTCAGGTGTCAGAGTGAACAATGTGTGGCATTCGTTTCACACGCCTCTTGCCAATCATGGATTTCGTGAACTCGATTCTAGAAACTAAATTTGGCAGTGTGCCGGCATTAATTATAACACGTTTGCTAACCAAACCACATATACATATAGCTTCTCTTTGACATTTTGAGCTCGTTTTTATCAGACGAGTCGTTTCTGTTCACTTTAATCCAAAAGATCTTTCAGCTGCTGTCAGAAAGAGTCAATAAACGTTCCACGAACTTACAGATATGCACTGACGAACTATGAATATCGGAAAAGAACTTAAGAATCTACTTCGGTATACCATGCATCCAATTTCGTTTCAACTTTTTCATTTTTCTATAGAAATAAATTTTTTGGTTGCACTTTTTTTTATAGTTTGAAAATTTCTAGATATTGGGCTTGCAAATTTCTATTTATGTATAAGTTTTGTTCATTTTCTTCGATAAGGTTTTCAATTTGAGGATATTGAAGTTTCAATGTTTTTACTTCTATACATTTAAGTTGAGACTGGAAAATGAAAGCTCAAATATGAACATTGTAGTTGAAAGGAATAAATTTATTTTCGTGCACTTCTTCTTTTATTTCTAGCTGATAAGAAACAAATTTTCTAATGGGTCAAACCATTTTATTTCGCCTAATGTATTTTTGACCTTTTTAAGGGTTTTTTTTTATTTTGTCTGTTACCTTTTTTCATGTACTCTCAATTTAAAACATCTTTTTTTTATACAAAATGTATTTTTTTACAAATCATCATGCATTTCATCATCTCAAAACAGAAAAGAATATTTTCCAAAAGTATTGAAATGTTTCAAAAAGGTCAAAAATACATTAGGCAAAATAAAATGGTTTGACCATATATAATACGTGATCGATTATATTATAAATACCTTGGCTTTTATTTTCGCCTATTCGAAATGTAACAATTATGTTACAAAATGTTTTTTATTCATCATGTAGTATGAAAAAAGTTTATTCCGTTCTCTGAAGGGGTAAAATAAATAAAAACTTTACAATTTTCAATATTGTATTTAAAAAAAAGACATAACTGAAAAGACTGGAATTCATTGTTCCACAATACGTGGTCGATTAATATTGTAAATTCCTTGGCTTTTATTTCCACCAATTCGAAATGCAACAATTATGAATTACAAACTGGTCTTTTATTCATCATGTAGTATGAAAAGAGCTTATTCCGTCCTATAAAGGGAGAAATAAATTCAAAATTTTAATATTGCTTCTAAAAGAAGAGTCTAAAAAGACTGAAATTGGTTGTTACAAAATAAATACTCACTGGAGCCAGGTGTTTCATCCATCAGCCTTGAGACATTTATTGACGAAAAGTCTTTCAGGTGTCGTTTATTCGTGTTAATATTTGAAATGGCGTGATATGAGTCACTTTGTAAATGGGACTTGAGGAGAATGAGATAAGTCCGCAGTTGCAGTGATTCTTATATTAAACCTCAATAGTAGTCTAAAGAAACAGCAGGTGTTTCTCAAGCAGCTGTAATCACGACAACCATCTGCCGTGGTAATACAGGCCCGCTGGTATCCTCTGAAACCTTGCCAATTAGATACTACCGAATGAAACACGTGCCCTTCTCTTCGGATGCTCTGATCACTGATCTCTGCTAATATTTTTTTTTTTTATTCTACTCTTCCCTTAAACCTTCTTTCCGCGACAGTTGGCCGGCACGAGACCAACTAAGTCTTCAAGACAGCAGCTATTTATTTCGCTTTTAATAAGGGAGGCAAATGTATTCGCAGGGTTTCTTTTAATAGCTCGCCACTCTCTTCAATGTCACTGATGCAGAAACTTGGGGTCTTCTTGCCAAAGAAATAATCCACAATGTGTAAGAAAACCTCTTTATAAATCACCTGTGTTGACTAAAGACAAAAATAAACATCTGTTTGTTTTTTAAAAATACTTACACTAAAAAAAATATTTTTCTTATCCATAAGTGATGTGATCAAAGAGATGTAATTAAAATTTAACGAGCAAATGAATATTATACTAACATCTATGTATGTAAAATAAACCAAAGTTTCACCTCATTCAGCAACTTTTTAGATTACCCGACAAGGTGAGTCTAACTGACTGTTGGTACTATAGAACCTTTTTACTCTCAAACGGTAAGTTCTTCCAGCTGATAGTATTACAGAATTCTACACATTATATTACCTACAGTTGAATAAATTATCATTTGTTCAACTGTAGGTAACAGGAAACGAACACTATTTGCTGATATAGTCGAAATCTTCTTTAGAATCCTTACCTCACACCCGGATTTAAAATTATTATTGACCAAATAGTAATTATTTATTAAAAAAAATTGTTAGGATAGGAAATTATTCAGAGTGAAAGCAAATCAATAATTACCATCGAATAATTTATTTTCATAAATAATTTGTAGGTAAAATCGTCGATTCGATTCAATAAATAAAATTAAATATTACTATTAAATTAATCACGAGATTGTAAATTACTGTAGTTTTGTATTCTTTTTAATAACGTATAGCAGTCATCACATTAAGATATTTGAGTTTCCAAGTGAAACAAGTATATGCTTATAAAGAACAAACTTGTTCTTTTGAAGGCAGACTTAATTAATTGGCAAAATTGAACTTATATATAATGTAGATATACATGATATACAAAATATATACAAAAATGACCTTTTATCATTTATATGCAAAAGTGCATATGCAAATGTCACCTTTTTCTCTTTATTTTTTCTTTCGGAAGTTAGAAATTTTTGCGGATATAATTTTAATATCTTCCCGAGCGATTATCGCGTCCTTTATCTTCTCTGCTTGCACCTCTTTTGCGTCGCTCCTTGGATCTTGATCTTCTTTCTCGTGAACGTGATTTTTTCTTCCTATCACTCCGACCTCGTGATCTTGAACGTGATCGTGATCGAGTACTCTTTCCTCCCTTCTTTCGACTATAGAGATATCGTCTCAATTCTCTTGATATTGGTTTCAAATGCATAAAATTACAAAATCCTGATCTTGTGCATTCGCTGAAAATTAAAAAAAAAGGTTTTGTTTCCATTAACCGGTGAATTAGATGAGATAAGTAATGATCTTGTGATTACTTACCCCATTTCATATTGACGACAGCAAGCTTCCCTAAAATCTGTTACTGGCGATAATTCAGCGTAAACTGGTCTTCCACCGAACCAACGATTATTTAAATCATTAACCGCTTTCTCAGCATCCTCTTCTTTTCGGAATTTAATGTAAACATTACCTACAAGATGATCACCTAAATTATCGCACACATTCATTTCTTCAATTTCTCCATATTTATCTTCACATTCAACGAAAACGTCTTCGAAAAAATTGTCATAATGCTCCTGCATTTCCTCGTCAGATACATTAGCCACCACTGCAAGAAAGAGAAATTAAATTCACATTTCATTTATATTCCACAATTCATAATAATTTTTATAATTACAATGTGAGCCATCTGCACTTTTCGCTGAATTTTGAGGATTTACGTAAAGATTTTGAAGGAGACATGTCTGAAACAAAAATAATGGTTCTTGATACATTCCATCATTTTGTTATAAATTATTTCTTAAGGCTAAACAAAGACGATCAGAATCTTATAAAACTGCTGACTTTAACCCTCTATTTCTTCATATTTCCTTCGAGAAAAATGAAAAGATCAAAAAGTTTCAAATCTATTCAAGTTTTCTTACCAGGTGCATCCATCATCCATTCAATTTAAATCTCCTCATTAATAACTTTCTTAAAGTTGGATTTTGACCGCAAACTATTTAATTAGATGACATAATTGTTTTTACGTTACATGACGAAAAGAATTTCTAAAAATATAAAATAAAACCGAAATTATCTTTCAGATCGAAATGAATTAATAAAGCAAGATTCCAATGATATGAATGTGTTAAATGATTTTAAATTAAAAGAAGGCTTAATCGTAAATAATGCTTCATAGGTTATGTCATTTCTAGAATCACATCGAATCCCGCCATTTATTGATTTACAATTGAATCCATCAGTCTTTTGTTATTCTCCAAATAGATGAATGAAATTTAATTATGCAATTATAGAAACCTTATAAAATGCGGTACTTACTTGGCTGAATGTCGGTTTATTATGTATACGGGAACATCGATCACCGTGACGACAAGCTCCAATTTTAAAGTAAAATGAACAATTAACTCTGTTGAAAAAAAGGTTATTATTTATATGATGTTTTTTTGAATAGAAATTTATTTTGTGTAAAAGAAATACGTACTTATCTTTTTCTGTACCAAAAATTGATGCTAAATACTCGGCCATTGTGAGGAACGTTGAATGTTGCTGCACGTCAATCACACAACAATAGCAAATACACAGCAAAACTAAGGTGAAGTTATCTTCGTGGCACTATTTTTATTATGCAAGTTGACAACTTGGGAAAATTGTTACTAACTTCACTAGTGAACTTCAATAGGAAAGGTAGATTTTTAAATTTTGAAAGAGTATCGTATTTTGGTAAGTTACCATCGAGTGGTAAGTAAACTGAAGCTAAGTTACCATCTAGTGGTAAGTAAACTGAAGTTTACCATCGAATGGTAACTTATGTAGCTTCAGTTCATGACAAGAAGATTGTATATAATTTTTATTTGGGTTTCCCTAGTGGCAAAATTTTATATCTAACGGTAAATATTTAAAGTTCCCCTACCAGCATACGTATATTTAGCATATCCAATGCATTTCCTAAAGAGTAATGATGATAAACCCCATCATAATGATGGGGATGAATTTTCATCTTTGTATAAAATCCTCAAATATAATATTTTTGAATCTCAAATTAATCCTACACAAAGTTCTAATCACACGTAGAGCCTTTAGGCTTTTTGGCAAGACAAAAGTTGAGACCAAAAGGATTTGTCTTAAATTAATTATGAATAATCTTGTAATTTTTATAAGGACCTGGGGTGCTATTCTGTAACTTCACTTCACATTCACTTCACATTCACTTCACATTCACTTCACTTTCACTTCACATTCACTTCACATTCACTTCACATTCACTTCACATTCACTTCACTTTCACTTCACTTTCACTTCACTTTCACTTCACTTTCACTTCACATTCACTTCACTTTCACTTCACATTCACTTCACATTAACTTCACTTTTCACTTTCAATGTGAAGTGAAAGTGAAGTGAATGTGAAGTGAAAGTGAAGTGAAAGTGAAGTGAAAGTGAAGTGAAAGTGAAGTGAAAGTGAAGTGAATGTGAAGTGAATGTGAAGTGAATGTGAAGTGAATGTGAAGTGAATGTGAAGTGAATGTGAAGTGAATGTGAAGTGAAAGTGAAGTGAAAGTGAAGTGAAGTTACAGAATAGCACCCCTGTATGATACCCTCACAGCATCCGAATATTTAGAATATTTTATGCACCTCCTATGTGGAAGATTATAGACTCAAAATTGACTAAAATTAAAATTGCCTGAGTATCATTACAGTACAACTTTTTTATGTGCTTATAGGCAGACTGATTTCAAAAAATAAAAACCCTTAACAATAAAAGAAAATGTAATGTAACCATTTGCAAAAAATATTTGAATTAGGTAACCAAATTATTGCTAAATGAAATCCCCGTCAGATTTATAATTTTTATTGCATCTCTTCTTTAACAATAGATCCAAAGTTTCACTTTATTTTTAAATTAATGTGCTCGATCTGCTGCAAATATGTCTAAAGTTTCATTGTTTTATATTCATTGTTGTAAAAAATATTATAAACTAAATTTGACGCTTTAAAGTAAATTTTTTTTAAGTTTTTGTTCTTACTTCTTGAAAAACAATTGCAAAAAATATAGTCATTATATCAGGTGCTGAAGGTTGTATATTTTTGACTATCGATTACTGAAAAATCAATTAATATTGATTTCAAAATTACTTCAAACCTATTCCTTTATGAATAGAAAAACTAAAGAATTTTTTTTTAAGAATTTGTGTTTTTAAATTTATTATGATTCTCCAAAAAAATAAAATTCAATTAAAACGAACCTCTAATACTTGATTTCTTTTTCGTTACTTCCAATTTCTTTAGTAGTAAGAATAAATATTTATCAGACGTTTTCCTGTATTACTTTTTTGTTCTTTTTTGTAAAAAAACATTTTTAGTCAGGCAGAGCTAAGGTAAAGGGTCCTATCGTAAAACACTGTCCCAATTAATGACACACTATAATTTCTTGATTATCAAATGAATAGATAAAAATCCCATAAAAAGTAATCATAGAAATAAGTAATAAAAAGAATTTTAAAATATGGGAAATTAAAAAAACAATTTTGCTAGATAATTGAATGTAGAATAGGATTTTGTTTTAATTAAATTTTATAGACTTTATTTGACAATCGATTATTACAGACATATATTCATGTAATAAAATTCAATCCTAAAAAAAGTGTAACAGTGAAGAATAATATAATTTGTAATAATTTCTGTTATCTTTATAAAATAATATGGAAAATTTATATTAATTAACACATTTATTTATTTAATTATTTTACGTACATTCAATGTTCTTGATGAAATAAGAATGTCAAAAATAATTTACTTTATTATTAATTACCAAAGAATTAAAATACTATACATTGTAGTAGAGTTCATTCTTTTAACTTTTAATCGATAATCAAATGTTTCGTTTGCAAGAGGAATCGATATTCTTTTACTACTTTTAGATCAATATTTAACTTTGTTGAAGGTTATACGTGTAGTAATTATTGACAACCTTCATGCGCAAAACAAGATTTTTTTGACATTTACTTTAAGGAAGATTAATTTCGCAAAATAATATTAACGTTTTCAATTGACGAATAATACAGAAAAGATTTTCTACTGTTTGAAAAAGTTTAAACAATTTATCGTCTTATATTGTTGCGGTGCAACTTTTTTGAAAGTTTCAGATCTCAATTTGTGAATATAAAGAAAGACTGTACTTTTCTGCTAATGAAATCGATTAGAATTTCTGCTAAAAGAAGGATTATGGCCAAAGAGTATCCAATTGTTAGCACGTAGAAGACAATCAATAGCAATTTTTCTTTTTCAATGATATCTAGAGTTGTTAGAACTTCCTTTTTTCAAGCTTGTAGTCAGAGAAAAGTAGTTTTTGCAATAAACCGTGATCAAAGGCTTTCAAAATTATTTCGTTAAAACGATCTTTAAAGGGTGAACAAGTCCTTGTAATCCAAGTTTGTGGGAAATACGCGATGAGCTCCTGTGTTATTTTGAATCTCAATTTTTGACTTTTACTATTAATTTCTTTTTCAGCAGTTTCAGCGTCAATCAATATACAAGTAACGTTTCCGTTCTTGAGCAAGTATTGTAAACAATCGTATTGCAATCCATTACCAGGTATGCTAACCGATTTGAATGCTAGTTTACGAACATGAACGAGAGGACTGTTTAACATTGTCTCATTTATGAAGAGGTCAATCATTGGCGTCAATGACGAGTTTACCAGTTCTTCGAGAGTTGAAATTTGAGGTGCTTCTCGGAAATTCATGTCCAAAATCACTGAGAACACGTAACCAGAATAAACCATGCAGCTCAACATGAAGGCACCAAAAACTATTCTCTCTGCTAATTTTCTTGGTTCGTTGACTACAGACATTCCCATTATGATTTGACTAATGCTGAACGTGTTCCAGGTGCTTTTTTCGAATCGCAGCAACAAAGCCGTAATTCCAATGACAGCAATAGCTACAGTTGTAGCAACTATCATGTAAATCAATTCATCAGAGACTTCAACATCTCGAGTTTTACTTCTTACATTTGGAATTATTGACTTTGCTGTACTATACTTCAAGATACGCATTGGTATACTATTCATAACAATAGTCAAACCTCTTAATGACAGACTATCTAACGTTATTTCTGCTTTTACTTTATCTAGATAATGTGAATCCAATTTTCTACTGGTGGCTTGAATTATAATTCTACAACGAATTGATTGCATGATATAAATACTGAATTTTTGGCTTTCAATTAATGTTTTTTCGGTAACTTTACCATTGTTGGTAGGTAACAATAATTTTATACGTTGTCCGTGGAGGTTTAATAGTTTGTTTGGAAACCATTTTGTTCGTGGCTTAACTTTCTGTTTTGTATATTTCTTTGCAAAAAGATTGATTCTATGAATAGTGGTCACATCTGCTGTTTGCCATGTTTGATTTTGAACAAAATTTTCCAGTACCGAAATGTCTAGCATATCAGTGTTCCACAATGATTTTAGCATGCTCTCGTAAGAATAAGACTTTCTTTGATTACTGAAGTATAGATTAAGCACTTGGGGAATGAATGTTCATGAGAGAGAATCCATAGTTTGTCAAACACAACTTTTAAATGAAGATTAGTATCCTTTCCATATGCATTGAAAATGAAAATAAACAGTGTTGTTCTCCTGGGAATTTGTAGATGTAATGAAAAGTATTTTGTCAAATCAATTTGTGCATCATGTAAATTTATGCTCAATGATGGAAAGTGGTTAGAAACATCACGAATAAGTTGTGCGTTGGCATCGGATTCTGCATTTGCAAGAAATTGATCATCAATTATAAACAGGACCTGGTGGAGTTTTGATTTTTCTTTAAGGTATCTTATTAATCCAAAAGTGTAATGGCTCCTTTCTGCTTCACCCAGAAAAATTACACTAAAAAGTACAAGACCAAATGTATTTCCCAAGAACTTCATCATTTTTTTAACCTTTAACGAAAAATTCACTGTTCCGTTTGTGGGAGAAATCAACACTGTTGTATAGTCTAACAAAAGATGTTGTAGATTTGATATTTTCTTGTCGTTTGACATTGTTGAAGAGCAAACTTATCTATTTAAGTTTGAACATAACTTTTAGAGAACCTACAATGCCTACAATTATCAGTCGTTTATGCTAAAAGATAATAAAAAATTGTTGTTTTAAAACTTTATGTTTCCGATTATTTTCCATAATGTTTGCAAATTCATGGTTGTTTAACTTTTACAATGTTATTTTTCAACATACTCGATTTTTACGATCGTTTATTATTATTTTTGAAAAATTGACAACCATCTTATCTTTTACCTTGTCCATAGAAATCTGCATTTTTTATAATTATCCGTTTTAAAAATGGCCTTATCTTTGCCCTGCTATGTATATGATTCAATCTTCAGAACTTTTAATATTCTTGTCCCTGATATTTTTTATTTTAAGAAATGCTTAAAGTAACGATTAGTGGTTATTAAATATTTTTATATTGTTAAATAAGAAGAAGTTCTGGCCAAAAAAAAACCGAAACAAATAAAAACAATATTTTTTTAAAAAATTTAAAAAATTTTTTTAAAAAATCGTGATGATAGTTTATATTTTTATAAAAGTAAACTTTAATGATTTTATTGTTGATATTATTCACGATACTGTTTATTGCCTATTGCTTTCAAAATTTTGAATTAACAGTATTACGGCGGCCATATTTGTTTCGGAACAGCAGCGCCACTTTGTCCGCGATGATATTTTTTCCCCAATAGCAAACAAATATCTCTTGTAGTTCCCTCAATTGAAAACTTTTATTGTAAAAAAGGTCTTAAAACGTCAAGTAATATACGTTCCGTACCCTGCTTGGTTGTTGTCAGCTGTAATAGTTTTTTGTACTTTCCCCACTATAGAGAAATCCACTCCAAGAAATGAAAAGAAACTCTTCCACAAGGTGAATGTAAAATCTTTTTGTAATTCAAATAAATAATATTTAATATAATATTTCAAATAACAAAAAATGAAATTAATGGATAATTGTAAAATCTTTCTGTAATTTAAATAAATAATATTTCATAACCAAAAATTTGAAATTTATGGGTAAAGGTTATATTGTAAACAAATTAATAATTTTATCTATGACGCAGTTTATTATACAAGTACGATATAATACTAATTATATAATGTTAAATAATATTGGTGTACCTATGCGTAACATTAATTTTTTTCTTGCGATTGATATGGTTTTGTTTATACATTTCAATTTCCTTATGTCTTACATCTCAACCACTTAATTCTGTGAAATTTTTTTGTTTGTTTGTTTGAAAAATGTTCAAAACTCTTTTTTTTTATTTAAAATTCTCCGCAAAAAGCGTGAAAAAACCATTTTCAAAGCTTTATTCCCTAAAAATCGCTAGTCCGCAATTACCATTTTTTTTCTCCCATTTCCCTTCTCTAATTCGATAACATTGTTATTCTTAGTAGAAAATATTTAATTATAATTCTATGTAGGAAGTTTTGCATCTTTTTCTTCGTTTAAAGACTGTAAGAACTATCATACCGTGCTCAATTTTATTTCCATTTTTTTTTTGGAAAGTTTTTCCGAAATGTCTCCCCTTCTATAGTCTAAAAGATTTCAAATATGAAATCCATTTTACAAATTTTTACTCGTCACTTTTTGTCTCCCTAAATAATATATATATATATACGAATTATACATTCATTTTTATAATGTCGACTAATTCTAAAATCACCTCAAGACAGATTTTTTTTTATTATTCGTTTACTCTCAACTTTTAAGTTCTTTTTTCTTAACCCCACATTTTTTTTCGTATAACGAAACTTGTTTTACAATAACTCGTACACCTGATTACATTTGTCAAAAAAGTTTAACGTCACTACTCGATTATTTAATTTTTTATTTACAATTTTCGGGAACGGCAGGACGGTGACAATATTTATATATAATATATCCAAAAGAAAACAAATTCACGAAAACAATAACCAAGTGAATGTAATTAATTTACACAACACAATTGCAATTTACTAATTTAACGAAATTCCTAGTGACGAATCAACCAATTATCAAAACTTCACTACTATTCAACAAAAGAAAGAATTATTTTTAATATCAACAACAACAAAAAATAACAACAGAATTAGAAGAGAAAAAATAATGAAAAGGACAAGGGAAAAGGGATGAAAAAATAAGACTAAAAAAATTAATGAACCAACTGAAATCTCCGTATTTTATTTTTCAAATAATAAAAATTAAAATATAGTGAAATAATATTATTAATAATATAATAATTGCTATAATAATGTGTCTAATGAACGCCGCGTGTTTTATTTTAATAAAAGAGAGGGACGTGACTCTCGGATTTTATTTATTTATATCTATACAGATCACGATATTATCAACAAAGCGTAATAGCGAAAAATTAATGTCAATTTTGTTTCTTAATTTTTCTTTTCTATTTGTACATGAATTTCGAATATAAAATTGACAATTTTTTTTCTTAGCAAAAAATTAAATAAAATTATTAGTTAACGCCGCGTTAATAATTATAATTCGTCCCTCTCTCTTTTTTTTAAATATACACATTTTGAATTCTTTTTTTTTTCAAAATGAGTACAATTTGCACCCAAAGTGCACCTTCTTTTTAGGAACATTTTTCATTTCATTAAATATGCGTTTTACTAATAATTTGGTCCACGTCTATTATATATGGAATTCGTTGCTGAAATTATCGTCCCAATGCAACAATAGACCGACATTAAAATTGTACACGCGTCATATATTTATATATTTATATATAATTTATATATGTTAGAAAATTTTCACAAAAAATTTACAATTCTTTATCGTGACAATGATAATCATCATCATTTGATAAAAAAAAACATCGTTATCCAACAATGTTGAGTCAGTCGACGAACAAGTCGATTCACTATCTTTTTTTTCTAATATTTACATTTTCCTCACTTCTGTGTATTTATATATAATATATATATGCATTTTTTTTATTTATACGTACAGACGATTCGCGTACTTATCACACTATATGATATATTTCGCTATGTATAGATATTTATAAATACATTTATATCCGCTAAATGTACTCCGCATGATCATAGCCTTCTTTTTTTTGAACTAGATGCTTTAATATTTCTTGGAAATTATTCACATCCAGGAATGATTTTCATTCAGGGAGAATTTAAAAAATGTTTTGTTAAAAAATTTTTCTAAATCGATTTAAAGAAAAATAGAGTTTTAAAATGTTGTTCCAAATCATCAAGTATGATTTAAATTTTTATTTTATTGATTTTATTAATTTTATTGATGAGGTAGAAAATTAGGAATGTTATCGAATGAAAAGCATTAAAATTGTGACATGCTTCGTACGTAGTGATCACATTTTAATTTTTTTTGGAAACACTTTTCCGTTGTAGCGGAGGAAATATTTACAAACTTATGACACAGAGATATGTAAGGTTTTTTTTTTGTAAGGGATGTACTAAATTTATTTACACAGTCGTGTCGAAAAAGGTTTCGTTGCTAGCCTCTCTTAAAATACACAACCCAGTCCAACATTCTGGTCTAAAAATCCAGAAGATGAAACAAATTGTGAGTTAAAATGAATTTTTCGATTGTGTGCTTGCAAAAGTTCTTTCTGATTGCATTAACATTTTTTTTTAGAAAAGAAAAATTTATCAATATCTAAAATTGGAATTTTAGAGTTAATGCGTTCGGGAAAGAATTTTGCAATCTTCGGTTTAGTGTATACAATCTTAATAATAATAATTAAATTTTGCTAGAATTGTGGGAATAGTGGGTAATACTGATATAGGTAATTTTGATTGTAATACCTTAAGATGAAAAAAAGGAATCACTCCTGTATTAGCATTTTTCATTTTGTCTCGGCAGTTTTAATATAGTCTTTATAAACGATTCTATAAAAACTGGTCATTTGACAAACCAGGGAACGAGGATTAAGAAGCGTAACGTCGTTGCCGAGGTTTGTCTTTTATTCCTTGTAAAACACTTCATCTTATGGGATTTGGTTTTTCTCCCATCGACAGACGTGGCATTTTACAAAACCAAGAAACTTAAATATTTACATTGTCACATCTTGCTGAGATCTGATAAAAACACAACACATTTCGAAAATTCAAAAATTCTCACAACTAAGTTCCACAATTTGATGACCAGTCAATTTGACGATGTTTTTTTTTTGGTACTTACTTCATTTCTCACTCTCGATTCGTATACCTATTTTTTTCTATCAGTGACAAGAATAAAGATTCACTTTGTATCCACTTTTTCAGTATTGTTTTTGGAATATAATGACGATTAGTGGTAAAACTCTGGGAGATTGCACAATCGTCGTTGAGGATTCTGAAGTTGAGGATGATGTTGATGGTGGTGGTGATGAAAAAGTGCGTCCCCTTGTTGGGTCGCAGACTTGTGTCACTCGTGAGATTTTCCGGTTAGGGGATGATAGCCTCCACCTGAAGAAGCCACTAAAGCTAAGGGAAGAGGCGAACCAAGGGGTGTTTGATGGGGATGTGATACTATTCCCGCAGAATGTGTCGTCAAAGCTAAGGGACTTCCTGATATGCTACCTGCTAGTGAGGCAAAAACCGAGGGCGATGGTGATGTCATCGTTGGACTTCCCATCGTCGATGGTGGATTGATTCTCTTCTCCTTCTGTCGCCTGAAAAACGGAAATAGTTAACATCTCATAGTACTAATCCAAATGAGTTTACTTTTTCTAAATATTGACACTAGAACAGTAGGTTTTAAATTCGACTAACCTGTTGCAGAACCAGACCCGAACAACCTCCTTCTCCATTGCTAGACTATCAGCCAAAAGGGTGATTTCCTCCGAAGTTGGTTTTGGATTCTGACAAAAGGCCTTCTCCAAAGCTAGCCGAACACTAGTCTCTATGGAAGTCCTCTTTTTCCGCCGTCTTCCAATAGCCTCCGGAGTCGTCATTGGATTCGTTAACGAATTTGGATTATTCAGTGAATTGTCCGCGTCCTCTAACCACTTTTGAAGAAGAGGTTTCAGTTTGCACATATTTTTAAACGAAAGATTTAAGGCCTCGAACCTCGAGATTGTCGTTTGGGAGAAGTCGTTGCCGTAAAGTTTACCCATTGCAAGGCCCACATCACCTTGAGTGAATCCCAACTTAATTCGCCGTTGCTTGAATGTTTTTGCAAATTGTTCGAGTTCCTCTAGATCGGTCGTTTCTTCAGGCGAAGGTTCCAATCTTGCTGGTGGTTGTTTGACGGCTGGTGGTGTTCCAGGAGGTGGTGGCGAACGTTGTTGAGCTAAACTCCTACCGACCAGCGCACCACCACCCTGAAGAGCCTGTTGCTTTTGCAGTGCCTGCAGCTGTTGCGTCGCTTGTGCAACCGCCTGTTGTACCTGCAAAGAAATTGATCATTATAATCATCAATTTTTTTTTGAAAGTCACTCTAAAGCTAAAAGCATATGCAGGAAATAGAATTTTTAACTCCGAGAACTATGAACTATATTCTATAAAAGAAATTTCTTTCTTTTCATGCTGTTTTTTTTCTACACCATGAAAAATTAAAAAGCAATTTACAACCCTGTGGGAAGTTTTGTACCTGCATGGACTGTGAGCGCGGATGACTTGGTCTCGGGGGGTAGCCACCGCTCTGCAACAGCCCCTGCAAGATGCCAACTTTTAATAAACAATTTTAATTCCAATGGACATAGTTTTTTATCCTATGAAAATGTATCGGAAAAGTGAAAGGATTTTTTTTTTTGAGAGGAGATTAGGTATAGGCAAGAATACTAAATCGATTGTGAACCCCTTTCTTCAATTCGAAAATTGAGATAGGGTAGTGATTCCTGTAGGCGCCCTTTTTTTTCGTAGAAGGGTTTTTGGATCTTGGTCAGGTCGCGTGTCGCCATACCAACAGACTTTATATGCTTATTTATGTAGACGCCCCATTCAAGTGCTTTACATTTGGCCACGTGCGGGTTCTGTGACAGGTTATTGCGTGAATACCAAGAACCCTTGCATATATACCTTCGATGGGAAAGGGTTGCTTTCTTCAAATGGTCGCGTGTTTGCTAATAACAAGGACCTTTATTGTGTCGACACGCTTTCACAGGTAAATCAAGTGCGGATTCGGTTAACATATTTGCCTGCTAATCGAATTATTATAGGGGGACCCATGGGACTTGTCTCCTTTTCCAAATGTTCCAAATGCTCGTTTGGAAAGTAGACAATGAAGATTGAAATTCTTTTGCAAATTCCCAGTGGACTAGGGAATATCTTTAGTATATCCATTCCGGTTCAAAAGAGGTTCTAAAGATAATATATATCTTTCGTTCTAAGTTTGTCTATTAGGTGTCTTTGAACTATGGACATTCTAAGGATGTTCTGAAGTACCAAAGAAAATTCATGTCCCAGTATTCATCAGGTTTACTACGACTGTTGAATTACATTGAACATCTTGACAGCAATCGATATTTCAGGATATCCTATGGACTTTGTAGGAGTATCCGTATATAAATTACGATTAAACTAAGATTTTCAAATGCTGCATTGACAATGAAATTAATTTCGATTTTAGAGAATGGAACCTATAATTAATATGTTATAGGATCAAAATTAGGGTTAATCTGAGAGCAGCTGCCTTAATATTCAAGTATTACACTATTACCAAACTAGTGACACAACGTGTCAATAAAGAATAGCCTATTATGAAAAAGGGACCTTAAACCGGAAGGGTCTGATCGAAAGGAATATTATCGAATTTTTTGATCCATTGGAACAGGTTGAGCGCGTGTTGGATGAAAAGGGTTGAGTCTTGAGAAGGTCGTGTGTCTCTCTTGGAAAATTTGACACAAGCGGCACAAGGCGCAGGATTCTTAAATATATATGAGGAGGGAAGAAAGAAATATGAAAAAAGAACCTCTTCACCCTAGCCACGTGTTAGGTAACAAAGGGAGCCCGCGGCAAGGTGCCATAGGTTTCCCTTAACGAATCGCGTCGGAATACCTTTTGAAAAGATGCGCGCAGAACTCCAGGTCGAAGGAGGGCCCCCATTAAATCTGCTGCTAGACTTAAAGTCGTTTTGTTACATCTTCCCCTATTGCATCGCCTCGGTTTCTGTTCATACATGCACACACCATTCAAACATTTTGGTAAAATGTAACCTAACCTATTCACTGTATTATGCTATATGTGTGCCTGTCGATACGATATGTATCGAGTTTACACAATCGGGCATTTATTTTTTATTCTAATATAGAAGCATACAATTTTCTTCTTCAAGAAGATCGTCTCTCAATGAATCATTCCAAGAAGAAAAAGAGAGAGAGAATGAGTGATAATAAATTTCTCCTCCAATGGATGCACAAATTAAACATTTTTTTATAAATAAAGATCTCTTTGAAATCCATCCAAAGAATGAAGTTGAATCACTTTGGAGTTGTGTGAATATATAAAGAAAAGATTGATTCTAGAAGAATTTACCTAAAAAATTCTCACCTTTATCGTAGACAAAATGAACTGAAACTATTCTCACATACCCCGCGGACGTAAGGATATCTAAAATCTTTTACTATTAAGCTAATTATGACCACCACTTTTAGAAGTAGCTAATTGATACTAGAATCAAATTGATGCCAAAAATTAGGATCAATTTTAGATTTGATCATTTTTGGTAAAATAGTAAAGGGAATTCCCCAAAAAGGACTCGATGTCAGGTATACAATTTTCCTTGTATAGTCCGAAGAACACTTTTGAGGGACTTTTCGAAAATCTAATTTCTTAAAGTAGCTGGAGAGAGGAGAATGGATCGCTTGTATGTGAGCACTTGAGAGCTTCCGCCTGGGAGATTTCTCCTTATGTTGGATGGAAAAATGAAGAAGGATTCCATTACAAACCTGATTTTGAAGGAAGAATTGAGCCTGTGCGGGTAGTTGTCCCGCCGCTGCCGCCGGATTCGCTTGCTGGAACATGGCGAATTGCTGAAGTTGCTGCTGAAGTGATTGCTGCTGAAGGGTTGAAGCTAAAGCTTGTATTTCCTGTGGACTCAATGCACCAAGTGAACCATGCATAAGAAGCTGTTGGCCCACAAGTTGAGCCGCTAACGCTGCCTGTGAACCAACAGTATTTCCCGCATGACTTCCGGTCAGCTGACTACTAACTCCCGAACTTGGCGATGATGCACTACCACTGGTACCACTGCTGCTATTTCTGTGCGACACATCCGTGACCTTTAAACAAAATTTAATTTCGTTAAATATATAGTAATCAGAATCAAAAAGTTCTAAAATCGAAATCTTAAGTTTTAATAGAAAAATTTGATTCAAACATTATGTTTAATTTTCAAATGTTATTCAGAAAGTTTCTGAATAACATTTAAAAATTAAACATGTTTGAATTGTCAAAATGTCCTCTGACAATCAGAGGAGGCTTTTTAATATTTTAGTCGATGAGAATTCAGAAATCGGAAGAAACCACCCTCCCTAATATCGTAAAGTAAACGCTGTCGAACAAAGCAGTGTTTACACTCGGCCAGGTCAGGATATTGGTCACTCCGGGTCCATCCTATAAGCTTTTGTGTTTTATAAAACCTTCCTCTCTAAAGCCACCCCCTCTCTATTAGAAATGTCCGCTTTTATTTATTTCTCAAATATTGAACTCGTGCACTTTTTATGCCAGTCGAGGGTGAACGCGACCAGTCAATATGTATGGGACGTATGTATCATTCGACTTTTTGATTTTTGAACAGATGTTTCTCTCCAGAAAACAAATCAAGATCAAAATCCCATGAGAATTTGTATAAAATTTCAAGAAATGAATTTTTTTTTTCATAAAATTGAAACATTTAATTTAAGTAAAAAGAAGAATTGTTTAATAAAAAATTCTTTAAAATTTAAACTTCTTGGGGTTACTTATTGGGGTCTATTTAAGAAGAGATAAATTATGATTGTATGATAGTAATAATTGGACGGGTCTAATGAATGCTAACGATGAAAATTTCAATTTGAAACGAGTTGCAAACAATTTTCTGTAATTCAAAAGTCTCAAGTTCTTGTGAGTAGTTCTTGAAGAAGGGCCTTCATCACCTGTTGGACACTAATTAGTTACCTAGGGAGCTCATAATCGAGAAACACCTGTGGCGGAAATCTTCAAACAAAAGGCATATACTCCAAAAGATAAAAGTCTATTTCTATAAAGAATACCGCATCAACAAATCAATATAAATGATTAATTTTCCCCTCTGATTTTTTTTAATATTAATATAATTTTGGTTTAATTTTTAATTCGAAAGTATTTTTTTTTAAATGAATTTAATAATTTCCGGTCATTTTTGATAAAATTTTAAGGTGTCAACTGAATTGCGTCAATTAACTATATACAAACTAAAGAAACTTGTAATTTATGAACACGAAGCAACTGCAAATTTGCTGTATTGCATGACATGTTTAGGATTAACCCTGAAGAGTCTCGCATGAGTGTTTCTCCTAGGGAGAATCAATTATCTCCGAGGTTAATAATTTCGCAGTATTTTTATTTTTGCACACAGGCCGAGCTCCAGCGAGCGAATAAATTGGAATTCTAAGGAAAAATCGTGCTTTATTTATCGAAAGTAATTAATCTTTTTCTTTGAAATTAAATACGTTTATTAGTTTTAGGTTTCGTTCTGAGAATATTACCACATACAGTGTATTTCATAAACATTTGAAATTTTATCAATTTTTCAAAATTTATTAATATTCCATTTTGCATGGAATCATATATTAAATTAGTAATTTATTAGAATTCGATTTTTATCTGTATATTACTCTGGCATATACTATCCTTATATTTCGTTTTTAAAAAATCTTCTAATGCGAATCGAACTAAAAACTTGTTCACAACATTCTGGACGTTAATCCCCGCGGCTATTTTGACTTTAGAATTTGGCACAAATTTTTTAATAGTGAAATTGAATGTAATGAGTTGCGAACTTACCAAATTAAGGGCCTCCCTGTCGGAGTCAATGGAATCGTGGTCCAAATGTGGTTCATTTGCGTCCTGAACGTCACTGGCGATACTTCGGTCATCGCCACTAAGTTCAGGACCTTCGACTTCTCCGTGCAAATCAGCATCTGCAAGAACACATTTAATTCATTTTTTACAATTTTTAAAAATCGCAATACTTTCTAATTTTAAAAATTATAAGATGAGTAGCAATTTAGAACCAATATTAGGTATACTAAATCGTCTTTTGGTTCGATTTTGATACCTGGTATCAGCTCTATAATTTGCCTCTTTCTTTTTACAATGTTCTGCGCAAGCTAAAAGAAGGAACTAAAATTTCCGAATTGAAATTAAATTTTTGTTAAAAATGTTTCACAAAATCAAAAATTCGTACAATCGTTATTATTCTGCGCCCTGTATTTTCGATGATTATGATGGAATCTCGTGGGAGTGGAGGTTGGAGTGCTGGTAGCATGAAGTCGCATGTCCGTAAAAATCATTTTCGGGTCTTCAAGAAAGACCATTTTTAATTCACAACACCCTTCACTCTTCACTCTCACATTTCCCCCTAAATCCAGTACGTTAATTAAAAATTCATAGAAAAACACCAACACTCACTTTTTAAAACACTTTTTTTAACACAAAGTCAAAAAAATAATCTCAATTAATTTAATCTTAATTCTGTATTTTCAATTATTTAGAATTGTTATTGAATGGTAATTAAAAGGTGGAGTAAATTAAGGAACTTATTTAAATTTTATAACGATCACCGGGGCGAATGGGAAAACAAAAAGAAAAAAATTATGAAAATTTTTGGAGCACTTGACACACGCTCGATTGCTGACGGTGAGACCGACACGGAGTGAATGTCAGAGTGACGCAACGCTACTGCGGCCCTAAGGGCAAACTACCCCCACCAACTTTAGAAAGATGAAGCCGGCCTATTGGTCGTCCTTCGCTGTTTCGTTACCACGATTGGTTGTAAGGGAAAAAACCCTTTGCCCATCGGCACGGCCTCCTTAACTTGCAAAACAACCCTTCGAGCATCCATCATCGTATCTTATGACGCCCTCCCTCGCCACCCCTTTTTTTCATTCTAAAGAGACCCCAATTCTCTTTTGTCCTCTCTCTCTCTCTCTCTCTCTTGCTTTCACTCATACCTCTCATTTTCCTCCCAAAAAAAAAAATTTTCTACGACCTTCGTTTCTCTTAACAATATAATAGTCCGATTATGTTTGGAACCGATTTATCGATCGAGAAAACGAGCTTATGGTTTACGGATCATTTTGTTCTCCTTGCGCGCACGTGTGTATTGCAGTCGCTCATAACGGTTTTTAATTCTAATTATTTTGATACACCGAGACCAAAAACGAACCCCTTTTTTTTTGTTAGAACTGAATTTATGACCGTTTTTAAGAAAAAAAGGGGTACCGACATTTTGATTTTTCTCAATATAGGCGGAGCTAAAATTTTCCATTCTAAAATAAATGCAGATACCCGTAATTTTATGCTATTTGCATTAAATACTTGAGAGAAAAAAAAGTATTTAGAAAAAAAAACCCCCCTCATGGGAAACTGAATCCAGAAAAAAAAGTCGTTTACCATTTTCGCATGACCATCATTTGAAATAAAATTTCTCAAAACCAGGGGATTCGGTAAAAAAAATTATGTATACATAGGCAGGTAGTAGAGAAATTGTAAAAAAAAAAATTGAAAATCCGTCAGATCTCACAGAATTGCAAGGCCATACTCCCCAAAACAGATTCTCCATGATCTCCCTAAATCTCGCTTTTTTTTTTTACCTGACACGCAGATTCCCCTAAAAATGATGAAAAAAAAAAATTACAGCATCAGGTAGTGAAGGTCTTTACATTTTTAGAGAAAAGAATTGAGAGGCCATATTTGACGGATATATACGATAAAATTTCAGTTGCTCTCCCCACTCCCCTTATCTATCAAGAGATCCTTTCTCCATTCTTAAGAATTCACTATACACAGGTACGAAATACAAAAAATCCCCTTTTTGATGAATTTGCATCTAAATTATCCTGTTCCCCTTATTTAATTCACCTCTCTCCCGAGATGTGCGTATTCTATTTTTTCCACTAAAATTAGGTTTCCGTGAGAAGTCATTTCGGTTTTACGAGAGGGGTGCAATATTTTTTGGGGTGATTTCTCTTTTTTTCGGGGAATTCTCCATTTTTCAGGAGTTCACCCTTTTTGGTGATGAACTCTCTCAGAGAGCAGGTCCTGACATTTCCCAGGAGCACCCTTTTCGGGTGTGTGTAGATAAGGTGCAAGAACCGTTGGAAATTTTTCTACATATCAAAGAAAGTTTTTTTTGGTTCTTATAAGAAGTGTGTGTACGAAAGGTGTAAAAGATGGATATATTTTTTTTTGGGAAGGGAGAAATTGGCGCTATTTTCGAATCGACTTTAACGGATTTTGCAGAGAGAGAGAAAAAGAAGAGAGAGAAAGAGAGAGGATAGTAGTAACGGTCTTGTAACGTTTCTTTCGATTTTTTCCCTTTGATTTCTTCTAAATTCCCTTGAGACAGAAAGTTAATTTTTATAAATTTTCAATTTGGAAATATCTTTATTCGAATAACTGTTAATATTGTTGTTAGAATATCGCCAAAGTTGATCTGCTTCTTTTTGGTGAACATTAGAAAATTTTTTTAAGGAATCAGTATAGGCTTATAAAAGGAGCATCATATCTCCGATTTTGAAATAAATTTTTATATCAAAAATCTATAGTGAAAAGGGATGGGATTTTAAATTTGAATGGAGATGAAATTTCCCAGGCTTCCGATATCGGTCGATCTGAATTGAGATTTAGATTCTAAAGATCTGGAGCATAAGCGTGGTAAATCATCGAGCCTATCTTAGGCTCTTTTTTTGGTTATAGCAACGATGCAATAGGGAATGCACCCACGCTTATGCAAGACCTGGAAAAAATAGGAATCGTACCTATATGTGAACATAATAGGGGTCCATCATTTGATGCTATATATATATATATATGTATATACAAGGACCCGTTTAACGTTTGCACGAGTGACACAGTAAGCGTCTATCCATCACCCACGCATTCAAATACAAATCGTTGCATTCCCCATTATTCCAGGGGATGATGCAGCTGGCATTCAGTCTGGACTTTGCACGACATTGCTTTTGCCTTTTCGACCCCTTACCTGCGACCTTCTGTCCGAATTTCACATACGAGGGACATCAGAAGAAGAGGGTCATGACCCAGGATGATCGTCAGGTGATAAAATGATACAATACCACCTGAGGACATCTAAACCTGCCTCAATTATTAATTTAATAATTAATTAAAATGTATTATTCAAATTACAAAAATAATACATAAAAATATTCTGTAACTATAACATAACAATTCACGCGCTAACGCGGGCTGCTAACTATTTACTAGATTTTTTAAATAATAAAACAGGGTGACTATTGGTCCTTGAAGTCCTGGAATTCCTGGAAATGTTCTGGAATTTGAAAAAAAATGTCCTGGATTTTGAACTTTTGTCCTTGAATTTTCCATATTTTGCTTTTCAATAAATCAATATTCAATAATTTAAAAAATACCTACTCAAATTTAAAAAAATAATTTTTTGATCCATTAAAAAATAATTTTAATTTGTCATTTAATTAAAGAAACTGGTATCTAAAATAATGATTTTTAACTCTTTCGATAATAAAATAAATACTTTTGTTCAAGTAGGTTAATTTAAATTATGTTAATCGTAATATGAAATAATATTATACAGGGTTGCCATAAAATTTTATTTTTGTTTTTCCCTACTGACTTTTCCCTGATTTCCAGACAAAATTTTCACTTTTTCCCTGACCTTGAAGAACATTAATAACTTCTTTTTTAAATAAATATTTAATCATTATTATTTTTCTATAGGAATTAAGATTATCAAATTCAATTATTACTTATGAGAATATATTATAATAAAACATGAAGAAATCGATCACTCCGAGTCTTTTATTTTCTCATGTTTTATAATAAATTTAACATGACAAAGAAGAATAAGAATAATTATAAGAATATTGTAACTAAAAATTCAAATTTTCAAAGATTTTAATTTTAACCCTTTTCAAAATTCAATTATTTTTAAAAATTCACGCTATATTATGTTTTTGATATTAAATTATAATTTAAAATTTTAAGTGAAATTCATTTTTGAATCAATTTTTATTAGAAAATTTCCCGAGAATTCAATTATTTAAATACAAAAATAAATACGTAATTTATTCAGTAATTGCATGTTTTTTAAAATTGAATTTTTATGAAGAATTTTATCAAAATTTTTAATAACAATTGAATTCTTTCGACGAATTTAAAAAAAAAATTGTAAGAATAAATGCAATTTTCTATCATTTTATTTAAAATTTTATAAAAATAATTGAAATTCTGCGATAAGTTTTATTATTTATATGACGGGTTCCACGTTAAGTGACCCAGGTCAAAATTTTAAATGTTTGGGATCGGGTTAAAATTTTGCAGAAACAGTAGTCCTATTAGATACAATTAAAAATACCAAATATTATTAATTTATTTAAACAAATATTAAAACTGGAGGGGGTCAAATTTTAAATTTTTGGTCTAACATGGAATATTTGAAAAATTTGTAGTTTCTTTAAAACAAAACGAAAATACGTTTTCTATTTTGGGTTTTTCTGCTGTTTTTCAACACTCTCTAATGGTGTAAACAAATGTAGAGAAAAAAAATGTTTGACCTTGAAAAATTAAATTAAAAAATAAAATTTCATTTTTTCATCAAATGGACAGTTTTTATTTTTTAAAAAAAATTTTTATCATAAAGGTGAGGTTTTTTCCTAAAAAAATGTATAGGTCAAAACGTGGGACAAGAACTTTTAACTGGTCAAAATAAACATTTACTTCTGCAATCCACCGCCCCTGCTCGTTGTTGGGCTATATATATTGTTTATAACAATTGAAATAAATTATTTTATGCTTTATTAATTATCTGGTGGTCATATTGGATGAATTTAAATTGATTTAGATCATGTGCATCAACGAAATAAGAAAATAAACCTCCTTTTTTTAAAAAAGTGTATTAATTTGTTAACTTTGATTTAAAAAA